TCTTCCGGCGCTTCCCTCAGAGACGCCCTTGCCGACCTCCTTGGCGTCGTCATCGCCTCCTTCACTCTTTCTCTTCTCCGATGCTCTTTCCGTGCTCCTCATCTCCGCGCTCTCCAACTGTAAACCATATCTTTAACGTTCTATTTTCTCTCTAAACTCTCCGACCAGAGGTGTATCATTTTCCATTTAGTTAGAATTAGAACAGTTCTTTTTATTCATGCTTCTCCCTGTGTTTTTGTGGGATAAAATTGTTAATGGCTTATTTTTCAAGGATTTCTCTATTTGGATATGAACTTGGTTATATTCACCGACCAATCAGTCTTTTCTTTGTTGTTCTTTTACTTTTATCTTTTACTGCCTCCGGTCCTTTTTATAAGAAATAAATTATAGGGTAAGTTGTTTCTTATAAAAAAAAAGACAGAAGTGGCAAATGAAAAGAGGAAATAAAGGAATATTATTGTATTTTTATGTACCAAACAGCACCCATTTATGCCAGAATACGTTTAGATACATCATACACTGCAACACACGTTTTACATATCTAACATTTGCACGAACCAAACTATTCTCACTATTGCTTGCTTTCTACATTATTTATAATTATCATTTAAGAGCATAATCATCCTATCATGTTCCATTGTCTAAGTTGGAGCCTTAGATGGTCTGTTGACTGATGACAATGGGGACAAGTCACCTTCTGAAGCTGATTGAAGCCTTTGCCTTGGCGTCATCATCTTCTTCAGGCAGCTTGACTGCAGTGTAGGTTCCTGCCCCACCTAAAGCACCAAGTATGGGAGCTACCAGATAGACCCATATGGCTTTGTAGTTGTTTGCAGCTACAGCAGGACCTAGTGTTCTTACTGGGTTCATTGAGCCCCCTGATACTGGCCTGCAATACAAGGTTAAGCATATTTAGCCAAACTCAAATTTCTTTAGGATCCATTTTAGATAACTCTACCTTGTATTGTAATTTGTTGAAAATAGCTTTTGAGGCAGTTGCAGTTTCTTATCAAGGTGAGCCTAAGGAAATTGGATGAAAGCTAACATGAAGGAATGGAGTGAAATTTAATTGGCATTTCTTTCTTTTTTTCTTTGTGCACCCCATATGGGTTAGAATACGGCCATATATTTTCTTCAGAAATTAATCATAAAAATGAGTTTGTTCCTAAAGTGAAAAATAAGAGGCGTATTCATCCTATGATTTTAGTGGCTGAAATAACCATATACTCCATTATTATAATAATAAATATACTCTTTTATGTTCATTTTAGAGGAGCCTTTTGCATTTCCCCTTTCGTCTTTTTTTCTCTACTAGTGTAGCTGAAATCAAAGCCAGTGTAGAGACGGGCGAACTTCTTTACGATCCATTTCTGAATTTCCAAACGGAGTATAACATTCGGAAGAGCACATCTTGCATGCCAAGGGTATTTCAGCTTGTGCGAAAATCACACGAAAAAGAGAAAAGAATAAGAAAACGATACTTAAAAAAGTGTTTGTTTCAAGTTATTTTTGGGGCGGGGAGAGAAGAATTTTAAGAATATCTACGATGGTGCACTTAAAGAAAAGGTTTTTAACTCATATTTTAGCAAGTGCCCTTACCGTTAGGGCTTAGGAGCCTTAGTAGCCTCCTTCAATGGTGATCCTAAAGGAAAGAGATCTTTTAATGAATCCTCTCTTTTAAATTTCTACGCCTTCGGAGGATAAGCAAAATATAAAAGTGGAGACGTTTGGGCTCCCTTACTTTCTCTCTTCTCTTCTTTAAAATTTTAAAATAAAAAAAGTTGGTAAAAACTCTTTTCCCTTTTTCTTTTATCTATTTTCTTTTAATATTAAATATATTTTTAGTTTATGTAAAGTAAAATAAGTGATTTTTTATTTTGATCTATGTAAAAAAAATTCTTTATTTTTTATCTTTTTAATTAAAATTGAAAATGATGTTTTAATGCTTAGTATTATGTGGTCAATGTTTACTAATTTTGTATTTATAATATGGTAAGTGATCATTCATGGTGACATATACAAAAGTATTTATGCGACACTTCTAAATTATTTTATAAATTCTTCATGTAAATATTATTTATCTACTTTAAAATGAGAAATAGAGATAAAAATGGTAGTTATAGATTTTTAAAAAAATAAAAATCAAATATAAATATTTTATAAAGATCAAAATCAAATTTTATTATTTTTTAAGGAACCAAAAGCAATTGTTCTAAACTTAGTAAGATGAAAAATAAAGAAATTTTTTTGTAGAATTAAAAATATATTTAAGTTATTGTATAAACTTCAAACATATTATTTAATAATATAGCAAGTTTGTTCAATTTATTTTAGAAACATAATTGTGCGTTTTTAAAGCTTGCTAAGGGGAAAAAATTGTAAATACGATATTATTTGTCAAGAACTAAGGTACACTAAACATGCTATGAACCTCCAAATTAATTTTCAAAATCGCATGTGTTAATCACTTTAGTTTCCCCTTTTTTTTTTCTGAAATTCTCTTTTTTTTTTCATTTAGTGAAAAGTCATTCACTAACGAGAAAAAAAAAAGTACTAAGATGAATGTCACTTACAATTACAATTTCAGGACTAATTAAGATTTATATTTTAATAATATAATATGAAGTGATCGTAGTTACGCGTAAATAACCAAAACAAATTATTAAAAAAAATATATTGTTTTGGGGTAACCCGTGAGTAGTGAGTAGGGACATACATACCCTGCTATGAGTATATTTAGCATCACAGTTGCTCCCACCGCGATTCCCGCCAGTTCTCCCACCTGCATATCCATAACATAACCAATTATTCATCGATCACCGACTTCCTTCAATCTTCATGCTGCACATGGACTCCAAAAATTCTTCATATTATACACATCAATTGCTTTATAGCCATATCCATAACCATTTATTATGTTTAGGGTAGATCTATCAATTCATGATATGTAAAACTTTTGACAACCAAAAAGTTAATTTAAAAAAAATGCAAAAAATATTATTTTAGTCTTTAAAATTTTACGAACCATGAATTTTACAAGACAAAAAATTCATTATTTCCTGTTATATTAATTGTTAAACAGGAACAGATGGAAGGAAGAACAAGATAAGTTCCAGCTCCAGACTTTATAAAAAAAAAAATGTTTATCTTATAATATACTATTAAATTTGATTTATTAGATCTGTTCTAGATTGTTGAATAAGGGTGTTATTTTTTATCAAAGTGAGATTATTGTCTGGTGCAACTAGCAAGATTCCAAATCCTTAAAACGCGGAAAAAGAGCAATATTTTGTCACTGCAAAACATATTAGCTTGACTATGGTGGCATGTGGATTAGTGGCACAAAAGTCAAAACAGCAGACATATCTTTTCCTTTGACTCACATGCCAATGCCAATAATTAATATTTTCTGGAATTGTCGTCCATATCGTATGGCACCGCCCCTCCCAGCTTGGGTTCATTTTTAGTTTTACTACTCACTTTCATTCATTACATTATTGTTTTCTTTTCCCGAATAACAAATATTAGTTTTCCTTTAATTTTGTTTGACATGGGATAGAGCAATATATGTGGAAACCTGAAAATTGATAAATTAGTGTATGGTTTGCAATTATGCAATATATAATTGAAAATAAAATTAAGAAGAGTGAATCAAGTATGAGTATGAGGTGAGGTAGTGTTTGTGTGATGTGAATTAGACATATATAATAAAATGAAAAGGAGAGAAAATAGTCACAGCTCTGGTGTCGGTGGCAACTGCAGTGACAACGAACATGAGATTGAAGGCAATAATGAACTCCAAAGCAAAAGCTTGGGCATATCCTCCGGAAGGAACGGTAACTCCTCCACTCATGAAAGGGTGGTAAACTGCCTTAAGAGCAAATGCGGCACATATAGAAGCCAAAACCTGTGCACCAATGTACATAGGAACCTGCGACGCAATTAATAACATTAACATGACATAAGAATTAAGAACAATTATTGTACTACGTAGCAACAACTAATGAAATGAAAGACGACGCACGTGCTTCCAAGGGAAGTGCTTCAATGCGGCAAAGGAAATGGTGACGGCGGGGTTGAGATGAGCGCCGGAGATGTGGCCGGTGGCAAGGATGACGATCATGACGGCGAGGCCGGTGGTGGCGGCGCATCCGATGAGGGTCTCGGAGCCGTTTGTCTTTTGGTTGACGATGGCAGCGGCGGTGCCGGCGAACATGAGAATGAAGGTTCCGATGAACTCTGCTCCAACTTTCCTTGCGAGAGGGACTGGCGGAGGGGCTGGCAGCGAGCATGAGACTGCGGGTAAGCCTCCATCTTCTAGGCTCCATTCCTCCACGCTGAAGCACCTGCAACTCTTGAGAAGTGACTTGTTGCTCTTATTCCTACCACTGCCATTGTTGAAGCCTCCAAAAAGAGGTGCACCAGGAGTGCCTGGCGTTGCAGGTGTTGATGGGATTTCCTCGTTATTCTCCATTCTCGTTATTCAGATTGCTTCTCTATTAATTCTATCTATCTATCTCTCTCATCACACCGGTACCTACTGCCACCTCCTATATATATTCACCTACTCACCTTCTCACTCAATTTACTTCTCAAAATTTATTCCACACATTCAAATTAATAAATATACCACTTTCTCATCTTATTTAACTAAAATAGTTGTCTTTTTTTAATAAACACATTACTTTTTATGTTTGTCAAAATAAAATAATTTTTAATATTTTTTATTATTAATTAAAATTCCTTAGAAATACTACTAAATATGTAGTATATATGAATTTGTTTTAAGACAAGTGTTATTAACACACTCTCTAATATATTTTTCTAAACAATAATTTTTAATAAATTTTAATTAATTAGAGAGAATATTTATAAATTAAAAAAAGTATGTAAAATATATATTATTAATATTACTCATTACATTAAATATTTGGAGACTAATTTTTTAAGTCCCTAATTAAATCTAACTCAAATAAAATTATCTTATTCAAAAGATACTTGCATTTATATATAAAATCATTACAAATTTTGATGAATCTAACTTCTTAATTAATATTTTTTACCTTAATTTTAGAATTTTTGAAGAATTTTAATCAAAGTGTGCTTGAGACAGCACTTGCTCTCATCACATTAATTAGGTGTAAAGATGGTTGACTTACAGAATCACATAGGGCTGAGCAAACTAGTGGATGAAAGTGCTAGGCATCACATTAATTAATGGATGGTGGGACACTGCGGGTGGGGAGATTAATTATATATGTTAAATGTTGGCATCAATCAGTAATGTTTGCTAGCTTTTGTGGTATAATTCTCGCAATGTTCTTAAGCTTATTTATGTTTGCCATGGTTTTGAGGCTCACATTTGCTATTATCCCTACCAATTGATAATGGGTTTAATTTCCCCCTCTCCATCATATGTTGTTTTCCAAATTTTCCCTTTCCTTCTTCGCGGGCCATCTCTATCTTTATAGTGAAATTATTGTATGTTCATCCAGCACCATATGTGGATACTCTACGAGGAATATGTACTCAAAAAACTTTTTTTATCAACTCTTTCTTTTAAATCACAAACCTCGGGTATATATGCCATTCTAAAAATTGCCGCCCAAGACTATATATGAATATGCGATGGTCCAATCATACAATAAATTCTCTTTCTTTATCGCATCTTTCATAGCTTTGTAGTAACACCCACCTCAAAATTTGAAGTGCATCTTTCTTGGCAATCAGTCAAGGTGACCGAACTACAAAATTTAGGTGTTAATTAAGTGTTTTGTAGTTATCCAGTTAAAATTAGAGTGTCCTACTGCTGTTAATCATATATGTTAAATGTTGGCAATAAAAGTTTAGGTGGAACTTTAATTATAATTGAAAAGTAAGACAAAAAACAACCTAGCTAATCTTGTCTGAAGAAATTGCGAGCAATCTTGTCAGTACCATGTTATATAATTCAAAATTAATTATGCATCATACCAGACGTTAATTGATTGTGAAATTGCATATCTGTAGTCACTGCCTCACTGGTGAATATGAGTCGTTTAAGTTTTCTTCCCGCTAAATAAAGTAAAATCAAGTCTGGTTTTATTATGTTAATTTGAGAGCTATTTTATGAATGAATAATTTTATGAAATGTCTGGTTTTATCGTATCATAAATTAACATTGCCATGAAAACTTAACTTTTAATTTTAATTAATTACGGTTGGTGTGCATTCTCCTTAATATAAAATTTAAAGCAAAGGCATACTTGTTCAAATTAAGGCCTGTAGAAAAGGAATAGAGAGTTCTATTTCTAGCAGTAATTATGAAACGCTATTGCAAAACTGAAGAATATGACCAACACTAGCGAGCTTTGTGGGCAGCATGCTATCTTAAGATTTTATGGCGATCATTGTTGTGTTACTGCTCAAGAATCAGCATAATGATTAATGAGATTTATGTCTGAAGTCTGAAACTAAAGGTTGTCAAGTGAAACATCAAATCACATAGGGATAGAGAGAAGACCCTAAAAGTGTCTTTCTCCAAGTAAGCTTGTGCAGGGGGGCACCCATTCTTTCATTGATTTCATTCGAACATTTGTGGTATTCTTCCTCCTTCATGTCCTTTTCCACTCTCGGAATGAGTTATCATCAAGAAATGCCTCAGACTCAGATTACTGTACTTTGTTATCTCAAAAGTTGATATGCCAGTCTGATTTTACTATTCAAATTGATGGTTGTGAGATTTACCTAACTCTCAGCTTAATTGCCTAACATTGAAAAGAGATTATCTTATTTTAAGAAGAAAATAGAATGGACTATTATCAAAAAGAACTTCGATTTTGATTTCCAAATGTTTTTAGTATTTGTTTCTAATTGGAATCAGAGTTTAATTTCAATATCAATAGTCTATGTTGACCTTTAGCACAAACCTTTACTACTTTGGATTAATTAGATGAAACTTCAATTCTATGGAAGAAAAATACTAAAAGCATTTAAGAGACTGGATACAAATTTTGTCCTTATTTAATTAGTACCTTCTCCATATCTTCCACATTCCTAAGAAAGTATAAGATGGGTCTGGGACAGCTAAACTGTAGTAATGCACTCGCATTACACTTTGTTCCACTAACTAGTATGAAAAAAAATTTGGTCGGGTTTGCTTCAAAAGTAGGTGAATGGGAGTCCCTCAAAAAAATTAAGAGGACTTCAATTTCAAAGATAAATGCATGCATTACAATGTTGAAAGTGGGACTCCAACAAATAATGAAATTAAAAGGGTCAAAATGAGTTGGCATTTTGTATCATTTTGTCCTCCACTTGATCCACTCTGCATCAATTGGTCAACTTACTTCAAATATAGAATTCTGCTTGCACACGCTATGTACCATGTTGTTTTAATGTGCACCGTTCCTTTTCTTCTGTCATTGGCTTCAATAATGTACTCCCTTTAATTTTTGCTAATTATGTTCTGAATCAAAAAGCAAATTTGGTTCAAAAAAGACACCTTAGACGTAGGAAACTGCACTTATAAAAAAATTGCAGATTCTTCAGGCGCAATTGATAAGTAAAGAAGAGACTAGCTAGTTTGATGACACAACATAATGCATGGTCATTATTATAAACCACGATTCCTTAAAATGAGATTTCATTAAATATGTTTGCAGTGCTAATAAAGTTAAGCAGGAAAGAAACCCTTCACATTTGGTCATACATGCCAAAATGGCCCGCATAGAGCACTTAATTATAATCTCAATTTTTTGGTCTTGAAGGAAACCTCAGTGTTATTCCCTACTAAGTACTAATTATGAGTTTTACAGTGTGCGAAAAGACTCGCTAGGGGGAGGAGAGTAAAAAGTGGTGACTCTGATTGTTCCACGTTTTGCTCTCCCATTGGATTGCTTGAAGCCAGGTGTGAGGAAGATTGAAAGTTTAACCCCACGCCATTATGAATCAGTTAAGACTCAATAACTAGAATTAGTGAATGAATGATGTACGAATTGTTATTTAGCCAAACTAGCCATGTAAAGGGACGACCTCATATATAGCAGGAAATCTGCTCCTGAATTTCTAGTAACATCATATTTTTTATTCTTCTCTCTGCCTCGAATAACTTGGTCTGATATTTTAAAGGTTAATTTATTTACGAGATTATTTTTAATTTAAATTTAATTATAAAATTATTTTATATCTTTTAACTCTCTTTATTTATCTTTAATTCTCATTTAATGGTGTGATATCATTTTCCCTCATACAATATGTCATTTAAAACGCATCAAGTGAGCACAACTTCTTTATTTTATATCGCCTTTATTCATGTTTTAGACTTTTGAGTTTTAAGAGTCTAGTTCTGCAACTCCAATATTGAACATAATTGTTATAGGAGAATTTGTATAAAAGATTGTGAATAAGTTCTTTAGGATAATGTTATCATTGTGTGATATAATTGATAGATAATCATATCCTTCAACCAAGGATTTCTATTGTTTATAATTGATTGTCCAGGAAAATAATAACAAACAATTAGATTGCTCACTTCACCAAATTTAAAGAGCTTGTGTGTAATTAATATGGTGTGATGTAATATCATTAAAAGATAACTATGTTCTTCAAATATATTATTAAGAGTTTCATCTCATACCCATAAATATATAAAAGTATTCGTTAACAAAAGTTAAATCTTTAATCGAATCTTAATCTCAAGACATTAGTCTCTCACTCATGTTCATCCTAGTGACAGGAAAAAAAGAAAAAGAAAGTCAGAAGAGAATGAAAAAAATATATATATTTAGAAATTTTGGTCAAAATCTTTCAAAAATTTAAGTCGTATAGGCTGAGAATCATTGGTCAAAAGCCCATTCATTATTTTTGTTGTCATTCAAATTCAAAGTGAAGCTTTTCCTCTTTTTTAATCCTTTGTATTAAGGAAAAAGAATGGAAGAATCCTATTAAAGCAGAAGATCACCTATGTTAGGCTAATTAATTAGATGGGAAAAAGGCAGCGAAAGAGAAGGGTTGGCAAATTAATGGCTATGACAGAAGTGGAGAGCATATGATTAAGTGAGTTCTTATTGGTTTTGTTGATAAGCATCTAGTTTTTAATTTTGTAATTACTTAATTAATTGTGACAAAAAGACAAAAGATTATAGCTAATGGGTTGTTGTATATAAGCCTTCCCTGGCTGTGTACTAATTTAGTTGTGCTTGAGTTTGTTTCTCCACTAATCACAAAAAGAGAAGGGCGACTAAAGCTAACATTGGATATTTGATTTCTGATCTTTGGAGAAAGATTCTACCGAGATAATGCACTTTGATATTAAAAAAATATAAGTATGGCATATTAATTCGAACTTGATATAAAACGCTTTGTCAAACTAAATGTGCACCACACACCATTAGCTCCTATGTTTTGATTAATGTAGTTACAGTCTTGGTGATACCTGTGACTAAGTAGAATTGCAGTGGTTCCAGGAAACTATATTATACTATTTCATTATTTTATTTATATCAGATTACTTTCATTATATTTTATGGTTTGAGTTTCAGGATAAATTATAAAAATTCTCCTTTCAACTTTACGTGTGCCCAAAGGTTTA